AAAAAAAAAAAAAAAAAAAAAGAAATAAAGAGTGAAATGAGATAAGGGCTAAATTCTGATAATTTTACTTAAAAGCAATCTCTTTTGATAAACATTTCCTACTAGAATCACAGAAGTTTAGGGGTCTAGGGATAGAGCTCAGTCATCTTTAGCACGCACGAGGCCCTGGGTTCCATCCCCAGCAGTGGGGGCAGCCAGTGGTGGATCACAGAAGTTTAGAGATTACAGGAGTCTGAGTAAAACTCATTTTATGAGTGAGGCCCAACAGAGCTGCAGAGTCTATATCAGTATTAAGAATATATCAAGCTATGAATGGGAAGTCTAAGAAAGGGATTCTACATCATTACAATAATTTAAATTATTGCTTTGCTATTCTTATACTTGGTTTTCACCTTTCTAAATATAGCCTGCAGATAGCAAGATGAAGATCTGTAAGTACTTAAAGAAGCATGAAATCAATTAAATATTATGTTTTGCATATCTTTTTCAAAGTAGATACAGATTTATTTCTTAACAAAAAAATTTTAAACTAGACCTATTTAAGTCTGCAACTTTACACTGGAAAAGACTTACTATTAGTATGTAAATTAGTATAAAAATGGATTTCTGCTTGTGCACTCTCTCCCCTCCTCAGCTAGACTCCTCTGGGGAGCCGACTCTGGCTTCCTTTCCAATGCGCATACCCCTCTGTGATCTATCCTTACTCCTGCCATACAGACCTTCCTAAAGCATAAGCTCAATGATATTCCCCCCACGCAGTGAAAACCATTCCATGGCTCTCCACCCTTTATATGACCAACTCCAGCTGTCCAGCCCTCCACAATCTGTTTCTGCTCTTCTCACTACCTTCTTCCTTGCTGAGCCCACTCAGCCAAACTGAACAAGCTGCAGAACCCAGCCCCTGCAAGACCAACATGCACACGCATCCCTCTGTCCTGGTCCTCACTATCTTCCTCAGAGACGCCTCTTCATTCTTGAGGGTTTGCCTCAAGCTTTCCTTCCCATCTGACACTTCCTACCGTTCATACTGATACAACTGACCACTGACTACTTGGGATCCTAATTTATCCAGTTCATCGCTACACCAGCTAGGCTTATGTGTACTTATCCCTACATATATTTGATTACACATTTGCCTTTTCCATTTAGATTTAATGATATTTCTGGATGCAAGGCCTACATAACCAATTTATCTCTGCATTCCAATGACCTAGTATTACATCTTGTAGACGGCTGGCACTTACTATAAAGTTTCAAAAAAAAAAAATGGGTGTGAACACTGCATACAAATGGTAGAAGTCCAGTCATACTGAAATGAGAATGAAGGAATAAATTCTCAATACGCTTTTGAGAGATGGGAAGATTCCAGTTTAAGAAAAAAAAATCCAAGTTTATCTAGTTACACTCTCCCCTGCAATATTCTGTAACTACTTACGTTTATCTTCATATAAAGTCTTAGATTTCAGGTAGACCTCAGAAGGATCCAATTTCGGAGATCCTGACCTGGTAATGCTGGGTGGAAAAGGCATAGGCTGGGGAATGGGCTCATTTATGGTCTCCAAACTTCCTGAATTCTCCTTTTTGTCTGCTTTCTGAAATGGAAAAGGTCCTTCAGTATTTTTTAAAAATAACATGGGTGATTAATTCAGAAAACTGTTGTCTGAACTAGATACATCAACTGAGTACAGTGGTAGAGGTGGCAGGGTTACAAGCCCAGCCAGGTGGTAGTGTGACGGGAAAGCCCCTTTCCTGGGCATGTATATCATAGTATTTAACTTCAATTAGAGCAGTTTACAATGATGTCAACTGAAGGGGCTCAATTAGTCCTATGTTTAAATAATCTTGTCCTTTTCTCTACCATCAAGATATAAACTGACTTTTGAGATAAGAGAAAGAGGAATATGATGCAAGACAGCATTTCTAAGGAAAACAGGGAGACTCAGAAAATTCCTCCACAAAATTCTGAGACTCATTTCCAACTCACTGAATTTAATTTCCAGTGAAGACGTGTAAGATAACACATTCTTTCTAGGGAAATAGGAGGAGTGTTAGCTCTGATTTAGTTTATAAAGATGACACTAAAAACCCTGCTTGGTCAATCCAGAAACATGGAGTGGAAATACCCCATGCCAGGCAAACAGTCTGAGAAAGGAAACAGACTGGCATATTCGGATACTCTCCCTACTCAGAACTTTCCCAAAATAATACTGAAGCAAAATGATTTCTCTAATAAGAGTTAAGCAGGAGATCTAATAATTCACCTAAAATATGATTTTGAAGCCAGCTTATTATTCTGCATTTCTGTCAGGACAAGAAGATTACAGATACTTGTAATAAATAATTAACAGTAACAAGAACACAAAGGAAGCAACTCCTTCGGGAGTCACGGGGTCAGCCCCTATAAAGTGCTGAGTCACACAGGACCCCTCACTGATTAGACCCAGGCAAATGGCAGGAAAAGTAAGGGCAGCCCCGTCTCCCCATGTGTCCCAGAGTTCAGGTTCTGTCAGAGCAAGTGAAGGTCACCAGAGCCTCCCATCAACTCTACAGCACCAGGGTCACTGTGGCTGCAACGGCATCTACTCTGAAACAGACACGGAGGTAAAGAAATAACAATAACTACTTGGGAAAGCAGAGAAAAGTAGAAAAATGCAGAGCAATTTTAACTAAACGGACAAAAAGAATTTCTGTTCACAGTTGATCTGATGGGACAGTCTATAAAAGGGCTGAATCTGAGGGTTTCTTCCCTTTTTGATCCAAACAACAGCAAATTTACAGAAGATTTTTACTTGGTGGGCTGGAAAGAATTAATGTATTTAATAGCGGATGATCTTTCCTTTAATAGTATATGGTTTGTGGTTATGGGAAGCTATCAATTCTGAGGTGAAAGACTTCAGGTAAATGAGAACTACATTAGGATTTTAAAATATAATCGTCTTTATATCTATGTCCATATAATTATGGCTAATTAGCCAGAAACGTGCACTGAGTACAGTTTCTTCTGCAAAAGCATTATTTGGTACACTCATTTAAAAATTCTTTTTCTCTACAAACAACTTAAATAGGCGACTTAGTTTTCAGAAGAAGCCGAAGAGGATACTGTCAAAGGTCTGACAGTGTATCACTTTGATATGAGCAAATTTAGCTCAAAAAGCCACAATTATTTTGGAAAATTTTGCTTAGTTCTAAATGTAAGAAGGTCATCTAAATGTGGGCATCTACAGTCCCCAGGGGGTTTATATGTAGCCATCATGTTTTTACTTCGGGTACTAGGAAGGAGACATAATAGTTTGAAATTTGAAAACATTTAGCTGCTTACACCTGTGTTCCTCCGAAACACAAAGAGAGTAAAAGAATCCTACGTAAGTTCTTTAATGAGTCACATTTTACTATTTAGAGGACTGACTATTGGTAGTATTCTTCCAGCAGCAAGCCTTAACTCCACAAGCACACCCCAAAAGGCAGGGCTCTTCTACCACTCCCGGAGTTAGTGATCCCGTCCAGGGCAGGGGCCTCCACTTTCTCCCAGCATCGCCATCGCCACCACCTCAGCAGGCTGCTCTCACAGAGGGGAAGAAGCATCTGAGGACTGCTCTGATACTCACCATTTTGGCAGTTTTAGTTGGTGAAGGAGGACCTTAAAAAAAATGAGCCAAATTTTAAAAACATAGTAAGCATTTTCTGATCATAAATACTGCTAATGTTTATGATAAGACTCGCTTCAACTTTTAGTGGGCTAGTAAATTCTTTATCTAACCTCCTATGTGCCAGACTTCATACATATATTATATTGCATTTTGTTTTGACAACAACCCCAGGCATAAATGCTACCATTATTTAATAGACAGGTTGACTGAGAACTTCTCTTTACATGCAGCCTAGGCAGGAAACTGACATTAAACCATGATCCCTCTGTTGTACCTGAAGCCCCGATGACTCTCCATACTCAAGAGATTTTTACCTAAGCCCATTCTACTCTATCACCCAAAGAAATTCACAGTTCAAAGAAATGAGAATAAAGAAAAACTTGCCAATGAAGTTAAAGAGCTCATTTGCCTCAAAAATGAAAAGTAAAAGCCACAGTAATAAAAGAGTGAAGGACTAAGTTTCATTTTAAAAAATACTAGTCATTTATCGGGATGGATTTCAGAAAGGCTATTAACATGGAACTTCAGAGTCCTTGGAAATGAATTTGCAGTATGTGGGAGTGGTACATGTCAGCTGATGATTGTGAAAAATAAAATTTTCATCTCTCTCACATAAGCATTGTGAGGTTTAATTAACACTTATGGGCAGATACTAAGAGCTTAGGATAAAATCTTTATGAGCATAAGCCATCATGAGTGCCTCTGCAGAATAGGCTAGCACACCACCCAAAGCTTCACTTATCCAAAGAGATGGTGGCTCTTTCAAAAGCTCCTGTGACACATTACAGAGGTCCAGATGAAACACCACTGGTCAATTTTCATTACTGTCATCAACAGAGGATATATTTCATTTGAAGTAGCATAACATCATGACTCCTCCTAATCATTAAAGTTACAAATCAGATTTTAAAAAGACTACAGTGGGGAAAGAGACCCATAATGGACACGAATGAAATCACTAATAATAAACTGTGCTGAAAACAGATATTTCATATGGAAGCGATCAGATAGAAACTTGAGGAAAATGCACACTAACTGCCAGTGAAATCTGCTGGGGAAAAACATTCTGTCCTATAAGGAAGGTCAATTAGCAAACATAAATGCCTGATATTTCCTGGTTGTGCTTTTACTCACCTCCTCTTAAGATGAGCAATGGTACATCCGCACCTACTGGAAACTGCTTCAGCACTTCCACCACTTGGAGATGCGTTAAATTCTGCACGTTTTGATGGTAAACTTCCTTAATTATATCCCCTTTCTGAAGGCCTTGGCACCACTGGCTGTCCAATATCATTTTCACCTTTTGTCCAGTAGGGCTATCAGCAATTGCAAAGCCAAAGCCTTTGGGGCCCTTAATCAAAGGGATAGTCACTAGTTCCGGCTGGGAGTTGCCTGATGATGCCATGGACGCTCTCTGCTCACTTGGATCAGATGGACCATTGAGGTGATCACCGATCAAAGTGTGTCCTGATTTTCCATTCTGGTCCAGAACCAGTGCTCCTGACTTACAATCCTGAGTAGTCATGCAAGTCTCTCCCTTAGTTAAGGACTGTCCATTGATGACAGGGGTAGCAGCAACAATGTCCACAACAGGATCTTCACTGTCATCAGGAAGTGGATAGCCACGACATAAAGTGAGGTTTACATACTGGTTGACAGGTACCAACTGAAACATCTGGACAACATCTGCATGGGTGTGACCAAGGACACAGTTGCCATTGATGTCTACAATAACATCACCTGATAAAACATAATTATGTTAAAAATATTAAAACCACCAAAGCAACTGTTTTTTTTTTTGCTGAAAGGTGAAAAAAAAATTAGCAACAAATTTGAATTCTGGAAGTCTCTTGCTGTTCATTAACTACCAGAAAGATAAGATTTCCAACACGTTCTATCTTAAGATTTCTCTCCAAAAAGTATATACAAATGTCTAAAATTTCAATTATCTTTTAATTTTAATTTTCAATTATCTGCAAAGAGTTTTAACCTCAAGTTTAAGTGAATAATTAAAGAAACCTGCAAATTTTATTGTCAGATTTTGAGTCACACCTAAGTGGCCAAAAAAACCTCAGCCCATTTTAGAAGGTATTTAGTACATAGAAGAAAAGCAAGTAACAACTCCACTGGCTACTTGTACAAAAGGCTCTCCTAAATACCACTTTCTTTCTTGATGTTAAGAAGCCATTGATTTTAATGTCCTCAAAAATTCATTCTAGTTTAAGAAATGTAAAACTGAAGAGGAAAATGTTACCCTCTGATATATTTTCTTTTATCATCCTCTTTCTTGTAGAGATTTTGAATTTATTACAAATCAGATTTTAACAAGTGAAAGCATCAACGAAAAATTCAACAAAATTTATTATTTAAGACAATGGATTATTTAAGACACCAAAAAGTCAGCTAAATTAATCCTTATAACATTTGGTTTTGTTTTCCTAATTCTGCAGTATTATGAGCACTTTTGGCTGCAGAATTACTAGCACTGAATTCATAAGCTGGCTTTTTTTTTTTTTGGTACTGGGAATCAAACTCAGGACCTTGTGCTTGTGAGGCAGGTGGCAGGACCTCTCAGCTAAATCCCTGGCCCATCAGCTGGCTTTTTAACACACCACTGACTTTAAAAATCTGTCTCATACATGTGTGGTTTTTATTTTAATATGAGTATTTAAAAGGTTATTAACAAATAAAGGTGCTTTCTGATTGCATATAGGCTTGCTTTTAAAAAGTCAATATGAATGGTGTTAAAAGCAAAGGTTAGCCTGTGGAAATTTATTTCATAATCCAAAAAGGCACAGAGACTAGACCAATGAGAAAGTTTTTGACTTTTCTCCCCCTGTAAATGCTCCCAAGTATTCATTAAATTGCTATTTAAATTAGATAATAATTTTAGAAAAATCTGAAACTATATTATGAAATCCTGAGATTTGTTTCATGGACAAAATATTAAAAAGGTCTGAATTGAGAACTTCAAAAAAAAAAAAAACACCTTATTGTTTGCATTCAATCCAAGACCTTCACATTGATCTACATGCCCAGGCATTTTTTTTTTTTTTTTTTTTTTTTTTTTTTTTTTTGAA